ATGGCTGCTAGTCAGATATTCAAACAATATTCATAACAACAACAAAAATAGCATTCATAAGTGTGACAGGTATTCCATTTGATAAACGGAGAAACTACAGCTCTTCAAATCTATGACCATACCTGTAAGGAAACTGGGAAAATTCTGCTAATAATCAGCAGAACTTGAATTTGACCAGATAGTTTGGCTTTTGCAATCCACATTTCTGATCACTATATGTTTAGCTAGCTAGTCAGCAAGACCAAAAGGAAATAGATCAAGGTTGGCCCAAATATCAGTGTAATGCAGCACAAATGGGTATACATGAAAAATATAGTAATAGATGCAAGATTTAGGAAGTAAGGAAACAGCAGGTGAGATAGGAAATTTGCTGACTGAGGTCACGATTCAGGGGTCTGCAAACCACACTGAGGCCACAGATGTACTTTATATTGACAATGTTTTCTAGAATTTGATTTCATTACCAGTGGATATGAGTGGAATTTTTCATGTGAAACAGGTAGGGAACGTCTCTTCTGCAGGCCGTATAAGGCCCATGAAATCATTTGGTCTGGCCCTGCCAGGGCATTAGGGGTGAGTTAATGAAATGTTTGACCAAATATAGCAGGCTAATTTTTAAGTGGATCATTTTGTATGGCCCGGGAAGGATGTTATAAATATCCAAATGGCCCTTGGCAGGAAAAAGGGTCCCCACCCCTGATGTAAAATATAGGTTTGCAACTTTCTTGAAAAACTTGAAATACTTCGCATCACTGGGCCTAGACTGCTGCATGGTGACAGTCACCAGGACCTGAGCAGCAGCTGCCCCTTTAGACATGTTATTTATTCATTTCTATCCTTTAGTTGCAAAAGCCGAAACCAGCTGGAGCTAGTTTAAGCGCAAGAGGAATGTGACTGACTCTTGGGAATGAACGGAGTTTTGGAAATGGGAAGTTGTTGGGAACTCAGGCTGTTTTTAATTTTTATTTTTTATTTTTTCGGTGTCTCCTATCTGGTTCCCTCTGCACGTCAGCTTATTTTTTTTCTCACTTAGTAGATGAGAGCACGGAGTGGGCAAGAGATACCTTCGTTATCTCCTAAGTTCATATGTTACAGTTCAGTCTCATAGAAAGCTACTGGCTGGCTTAGTACCAATGACCAAGTCACAGGGAATGGGCACTGATCGATCGAGTCAGTTGCCTACCCCTAGATAAGTGACCTTTGGCCCAGGAGGCTAGGGTTATGTAATGGAAACAAGGGGCACACATTTATAAATCAGATAGGAGATATAAGGGGATCGTTATGTGTGGAGCAGACACTTCCAAATATATCCCCTGTACCACGGATATTTGGGTTCTACTCACTTTGTGGTAGCTTCTGGTATTCTCTTGGAGATCTTTCAACCTACTGCAAGCCTGGCCTATCTGATCTGCTTGCCAGGTTTAGACCTGTTATTTTGGGAGGGTTTAGGGTTCACTTCACCCGCATTGTTCTTATTACAAAGCAATTTGAGGCCCAAATTGCCAGAATACCCTACCCTGCTTTTCTTTTAGCACTTTGAATCCCACAGGGCTTCCTTCCTCCAGTCGCTTAAAATCACCTTATTCATCATTATAATGACCTTAGGCCACTGAATAAGGCCTGGTGACTGCATTCTGAAAGTTAATAGCCCTGGATGAAAAGGGGGCAGGCAGGTCTAAAGGAGAGCAGCTAATGGTGATGTGCTCAGGACTGAAGAATTGGCAAAAGTTCCATTCATAAGTGTAATGCCTGGGCTTTAGAATTAGACAGGATGACGGGGATTTACTGTGTTTTTCTTCTTGGATTCCTTTGACGCAAAGAGCTTTCCAAGTTTTGTGGTTCCCAGCTGAGGCTTTGGACACTTCTTGTTTCAATGATTTTTTTTTTTCCAAGGACTTCAAAGTTCCCTTCCGAATATTCCTTACAAAAGTAGCAGTTGATATAGAAAGATTTCACTCTCAGCCCAAGCTTTGGGGTGCAGGGATTGCTAGTCCTAGAGAGGATGTTGAGAGGGAAGCTCCCCCCCCCCCCGCCCCCGCACCCTGCTCCTGAAAGTACTGAAGTAAGCTGCCCAGTCTGAAACTATTCTCTCTCAAGATCATGAGATGGATTCCTTCCAAAGGAATTCAAGCTCTGCCCCAGTCCTGCAGCCTCTTCTGGCATTTGCTTTGCCTTTTATAAATAGAATAGAATTATCCTGACTTCCTCAAGCAGAGTTGCTTATTGCCAGGGTAATATTCTACACTCTTCAGTGCAAAGAGAGAAGAACTCAGAGCCAAAGCCAGGAAACTTCCTAGAAAGAGAAATTTCACTTAGGACATTTGAAATCTGAGCAGACATTGGTTTGCTTTCTCTTTCCTCTTTATTGAAGTTAACAATGCAATAAAGTGACTATGGTTCTGTTACTTTGGATCCTCTCTCTCTTGCCTCTAGCTCCTTTAGTTGGCAGCTTAAGACAGCATTTATTGCAAATGCCAATAAAAGTTAACATTTATTGAGCAATTACTATATGCAAGACACTGCTCTAAATTCTTTACAATACCTATCTGGTAATTGTTATGATGATTACATAACACATAAAAGTATAATGTTCAGTCAGTAAATGGTAGTATTCATATATGTGCTATCTTCTCTCTTCTCCCTTAAAAAGTACTTGGATTTGGTTCAGTATAAGCTCACGCTTTCCAATCTCAGAGGGAAAATCCTGGCTGCTTCACCATCCTTTCATCCAACCCCACAGTAACTGATCCAAGATTTTTAAATATTTTCAACTGCCCATTCATACCTACCCCCAACTTTGGCCTCCTTAACTTGCTGATGAAATTATATAGATTCTCTCATTTTCCTTTCACTTCACTTAAGTCAGTACTGCTCAAACTTCAATGTATATAAATCAACTACAATTCTGCTTACAATGCAGATTTTGAATCAGAAGGTCTGGGGTGGGACCTGAGGAAATTCTATATTTCTAACAAATTTCTGGGTGATACAGATACTGTTGGGTGGATAACATTTTCTGTAGCATGGCTCTAAAAAAGGCCAAGGTTCACCAATATCCCTCTCTCTCTCTCTCTTCCTCTCTCTCTCTCTCTCTCTCTCTCTCTCTCACTTTTATAGATGAAGAGACTGAGACTCTAACTCAAAAAAGATAAATGCACCCTAATGTTCATTGTGGCATTATTTAATTCTTTACAATAGCCAAGACATGGAGATGATCTAAGTGTTCATTGATAGATGAATACATAAAGAATCTATATATATAAAAGGCTAATATGCAAAGTGTCCCCTCAGGAGTTTGACCGAGAGACCAGGAGTTCAATCACTTGCTATGACGTGTGCTGACCACCAGGGGGTGGCATGGGATGAAGGGAGGCCCTGGCTGGCAGCCAGCAGCCAGGGAAGGGAGGCCCCACTGGCAGCTGGCAGTCAGGGAAGGGAGGTCCTGGCCGGCAGTTGGAAGGCCCCAATTCGCCCTGATCACAGGCCAGGCCTAGGGACCCTACCCGTGCATGAATTTTGTGCACCAGGCCTTGTGTGTGTGTGTGTGTGTGTGTGTGTGTGTGTGTGTGTGTGTGTGTGTGTATATAAATAAATTAGCCATAACAAGAAAGAAATATGTAAGTGGATCTTGAGTGCATATGATAAATGAAATAAGTCAGACAGGGAAAGACAAATACCATATGATCTCACTTGTATGTGCAATCTAAAAAGAACCCTCATAGATACAGAGAACAGATGCGTGGTTACCAAAGCAGGGTGTGGAATGGCAAAATGGGTGAAGGTAGTCAAAAGGTATAAACTTCCAGTTATCAAATAAGTAAATCACGTGGCTGTAATGTATTGCATGATAATTATAGTTAGTAATACTGTAATGCATACTTGAAAGTTGCTTCAGGACTTATGTTTGGGTCTTTGATCCATTTTGAGCCAGTTTTTTAATATGGGGACAAGTAATAGTCTAGCTTCATTCATTTGCATGTGGCTTTAAATTTCATTAATATGTGGGATAGAAGCCGAAACCGGTTTGGCTCAGTGGATAGAGCGTCGGCTTGCGGACTGAATGGTCCCAGGTTCGATTCCGATCAAGGGCATGTACCTGGGTTGCGGGCACATCTCCAGTAGGAGATGTGCAGGAGGCAGCTGATCGATGTTTCTCTCTCATCGATGTTTCTGACTATCTCTCTCCCTTCCTCTCTGTAAAATATCAATAAAATATATTTAAAAAAATATGTGGGATAGAAAACTGAAAGCAACAAATTAACAAACAAAACCTCATAGACACAGACAACAATATGGTGGTTACCAGAAGAGAAGGTAGATAAGGGTGTAATGAAGGGTAGAGAGGGTCAAGTGTATGGTGACAGAAGGAGATTTGACTTTGGGTGGTGAACACACAATACAATATACAGATGATGCCTCATAGAATTGTACACTTGAAGCCTATATAATTTTATTAACCAACTCGTGGCCTAGTGCATGGATTTGTGCACATTGAAAGGAAATTAATTAGAAGAAAGATTTGTGTGGTAATTACATTACTGCAAAAAATTACATGTCAAAATAGTATATATAATATAGTATTATAAAATTCAAATACAAAATATTTTAATATCGCTATTTGCCCTTTCTCTATAATAGAGGTGTGAGAGATGAAAGAAAATTAGTAAAATGTATATGAAAATAATATATAAATTGATTAGTAAGTAAACAATAACAACATGATTTAAAAACAACCAAAACATGATATAAAAACAACATTAATAAAAACAATGACTGATAAATTGATTAAACTTATTCTAATATCTCCCTGTATACCACATTAAGAGTAAAAACACTTTTAGAGTGCTTGACTAATTTAATGTCACACACATGCTCTTCGAACTCGAGAGAAAGCAACATATAACTGAAAAAAGGTTCAGGTAGGAATATTCCTCTCTGTCTAGAGTTTGTCCTTGTGATTTATTAATAATGCGTGAGTCAACATTTATTTTTAAATTGCCAGTGTGCGTCATATGTACCGGTTGGTCGTCGGATGGATGGTCAGATGTACGTATGGTTAGTCACTTAGCCTTTTATATATATAGATGTCATCCCAATAAATTTAATTAAAAATGTTAAGTGATTTTCTCAGGGTCATATAGATTGACAGCTGTCAGAGGGATGAGGGGTTAGGGGGCTGGATGAAGTAGGTGAGGAGATTAAGCAAAAAAAACCTCATAGACACAGACAACAGTATGGTGATTACTAGAGGGAAAGGGGGTGGGGTCAAGTGGAAGAGGATAAAGGGGGATAAATGGTGATGGAAGGAGACTTGATCTGGGGTGGTGAACACAGTACAATATACAGGGGATGTATTCTAGAGTTGTACACCTGAAACCTATATAATTTCATTAACCATGTCACCCGAATAAATTCAATACATTTGTTAAAAGAAAAAAAGCATGATTTAAAATAATTAGTTTCTCCATCCAGCTAATGTAGCTTATACACCTGCTCTATTGGACTCTAACTTTGTAATTGTCATATTTTGGCTTTCTAAGAATAGTCACTATATCCTCCTGTGGTGTTCCAGGGCAACCCTGTCTGCCAAAGGCTGTCCATCTGCATGAAGACCTCCTGAGATGAGAATTTGACTAGATGAACATGTGGCATACATGATGGAGAATTCTATGGGTCACTAAGAAGAGCTGGTTGTCATGAGCCATTTCTGACAGAGAGAAGATTTCCAAGTGAATGATTGCAATATGTGCAGTTAGAGGGTCAGTTAGAGCATCAAGGAAAGTAACATAATGTAGCGATTAAGAGCAGAGACATTGGCCCTAACCAGTTTGGCTCAGTGGATAGAGCATCGGCCTGCAGACTGAAGGGTCCCAGGTTTGATTCCAGTCAAGGGCACATGCCTGGGTTGTGGTCTTGATCCCCAGTAGGGAGTGTACAGGAGGCAGCCAAACAATGATTCTCCCTCATCATTGATGTTTCTCTCTCTCTAAAAGTATATATTTTTTTAAAAGAGCAAAGGCACTGGAGTAAGTAGACAAACCTGGGTTCAGGTCCTACTTCTTCTACTTTCTGTGTAGGACCTTAAGCTGTTTAGCCTTTCAGAATCTCAGAATGATGATATTGTACCTAACTCATGGGGATGTGAGGATTAAGTGTGCTAGTGCATAAAAGTTCTTAGCACAGTCACACTGAGTGATAGTTATTTTTGATCCTCCAGCAGCATCCCCCACTTCCAGGTAGCTAAGCCCTCTGGAAAAATTTTACAAATTTTGTAAGGCCTGTCTCCAAGCCTTTCCTGATCCCCTTCTCCTGTGACATTTATCCAATTTTTTGCCTGACAATTATAAATATACTTGCCTCATCCCTCCTTGCTAGACTGAAAGTATCTCAAGGACAGCGATGATATCTAAGTCCTTCCACAAAGACTAACGGAGTGCCCTGCTATGATATGGTAGACACTCAGTATATGTTAAGCCAGGTTAGATTGAACTGATTTATATTTAAAATGTACTTACAAACAAGGACCAGCACTTTTTGTCATGTTGTAACTCTGCTATTGGCCTTAACATCCCTTCTTTCCAGAAATCCAACATATGTTTCACATTGATTGTTCCAGATTATTTGGCACAGATGTGAGTTGGGAGTTCACAGTTTCCAAGGAAGGATCTTTTCTGTAACACAGCAGGTGATAGAGACCAAAATGGCAACAGACACTGTCAGGTTAATTCAATAAATATTTATTGAGGGTGTTATATGTAAGATTGTGCTAAATCTATGGGGGTATGCAGAGCTCCAGGGGAGAGAAGGAATGGAGGGGTCTATTTATTTTAGGGAGGAGTGAAGATATATAAATCCTGACCATTGTATACTCTGAATGTTTTTGACCTCCCTAAATCCATATGTTAAAATCCTAACCCTCAAAGGTAATGGCATTAGTAGGTGGAGCCTTTGGGAGGTACTTATGTCATTTAGGTGAAACCTTCAGGAGTGGGATTAGAGACCCTGACACATAGTGGGAGCTCAATAAAAAGCTGTTGAATGAACAAAAATGGGATCAGTGCTTTACAAAAGAGGCCCTAAAGAGATCCTTAGCTCTGCCACCATGTGAGGACAAGGTACCAACCATGAACCCAGAAGAGGGCCCTCACCTGACTATGCAGGCACCTTGATCTTGGACATCTCTGCCTCTAGAACTGTGAGAAATAAAATTCTGTTGTTTATAAGCCACCCAGTTCTGTGACATTTTGTTATAGCAGCTGAACAAACTAAGACAGACTGGAGAAAATATATATATATATATATTTAATATATATATATATTTAATATATATAATTTATTTAATTTTTTGGCTAGCGACTGAGGCTTCAAAACGTCCCAGGTCTGGGTAGCTAATGAATGGTGTGTGCGATGATTCTTTGGAGGGGTGAAGACTGCCTAAGGACCTTGATAGATTTGTTTTAAAAAATTTAGAGCAGTGGTTCTCAATCTTGGCTGTATTTTGGAAACACCTGGCATGGGGATTTAAAAAATAGTGATGTTTGGGTCCCAACTGGCAGATATTCTGATGCCATTGGTCTGGGGTGCCTTTTGGGCACTGATAGTGTTTTTAAGTCTTCCCCAGTGATCCAAATGTGCAACCAAGGTGGAAAGTCACGGCTTCAGAGTCATATTTCTGAGGGAGCCCAAAGTGGTTTGGTTCAGGTCAGTACTTCTGGCTTGAGTAAGATAAAAATTAGTCTATTTATTTCAAGGACATTCCACAGTATGATTTGGTCATCTCTTTCTTGGAGGGAAAAATACTCTTTCATGACAGAATCATTATCATGACTCTAAGGGATTCATTTAATCACTTGTATGTTTATGCAGGAAACATGGAAAAAGACTATATTAATTTTCTATTGCTGCTTTAACAAATTACCACAAATTTGGCTTAAAACAACACACATTTATTATGTTATAGTTCTGGAGTTCAGAAAGTCTAAAATCAGGGTGTTGGCAGGACAGCATTGTTTCTGGAATGTCTAGTGGATAATCTATTTAATTGCCTTTTTCAGCTTCTAGAGGCTAATCATATTCCTTGGCTCATAGTCCCATTTTTCTGACCTCTCTTTTTGTTGTCACATCTTCTCTGACTCGTCTCTCTCTCTCTAATAAGGACTCTTGATTATATAAGAAGCATCTGGATAATCCAGGACAATCTCCCCATCTCAAGATCCTTAATTTAGTCCCATTTGCAAAGTTTCCTTGGCCATATAAAGTAACTTGTTCATAGGTTCCAGGGATTAGGATGTGGACTTCTTTGGAAGATCCTCATTGAGTCAACTACGGGGCCTAATGATGACAATGCCACTATGGCTGCGAATATTTACTTATGTCCTCTAAGCCACAGGACAAACATTTAATGCTTTTTCTTTTTTTTTACCGTGGGCTGGGTCCTATGCTTAATGCATTAATGACTTTATTTCAGTTAATGTTAGGAGGTGGCTACGACTATTATCCTCATATTTCAGATGACAAAACTGAGACTAATAGAGATTAAGTGACTTGCTCAAATCATATAACAACTAGGCCAGATTGCAAACCCAATGGTTCAGTAACCTAACCATTGTGCAATACAATTTCTTCTAGTAACTCTGACTTTAAGGGCCTAGGCCAGTGGTCGGCAAACCGCGGCTCACGAGCTCTTTGGCCCCTTGAGTGTGGCTCTTCCACAAAATACCACGTGCGGGCGCGCACATACAGTGCGATTGAAACTTCGTGGCCCATGCACAGAAGTCGGTTTTCGGCCTGGGCGAGTCTATTTTGAAGAAGTGGCGTTAGAAGAAGTGGGGGGTGTCGGTCGGTCAGGCGACGGGAGACGCAGTGCAGGCCGCGGGATATGCAGCGCGGGGGGGGGGGGGGGGGGGGGGGAGGTGCGCGGGGTTCATGCATGAGTTGAGGATGGGAGAGTTGGAAGGGGTCGACCTCAGCGAATGTACCTCAATCAGATTGAGGACGTTTTTAGCAAAGGCCAGCTTAGGAGCACCCTAATTAAGTTAATAACAATGTACCTACCTATATAGTTTAAGTTTAAAAAATTTGGCTCTCAAAAGAAATTTCAGTCATACTGTTGATATTTGGCTCTGTTGACTAATGAGTTTGCTGACCACTGGCTTAGGTGAATTTCTTTTTCTGAGCCTCAGAGTCTTGATTTTTCTCATCTAAAGATAGAAACAAGACAAATACATAAAGGGGCATCTTCGGAGAATTTTTGTGAATGGGAGTAGGTTTGGGAGCCAACAGGAAAAGTCTCTTTACCATGCTGACAGACTAATCAAAGGAGTCTTTATTGCTTATGTATTTTGAAGTGATGCTATAATAATGATGACAGAGGTGGGCTTTATCATTTACAGGAGTTCGGAGTGGCTTTAACTCTTACAGGTCTCGAGGGCAGGCATTATGATCTAAAATATATTTCAGTTCACCAGATGTAGCTTTAGTGGGCTGAAATGGTACCTGGGTAAGCAGAGTCCAAAGCTACCATTTCCATAATTACATCACTTACTAAGTACTTACTTACCTTGTGTCAGGCAGGGTTCCATTGGATATTCGTGACAACTCTATAAGGTAAATACTATTAATATAACTTTTTAAAAAAAATAAGAATTATTTTATTTATTTTTTATCGTTTAAACTATTACATATGTCTTCTTTCCCCCCCTACCCACCCCCCCACCGGCCACTCAATATAACTTTTTTTCAGATGTGAAAATGGAGGCACAGGCCAGTTAAGTACCATACCCAAGGTCACACAGATAATAAGTGGAAGAGTTTGGATTCAAGCATCCATCCTTTCCCATCCCTTTTGAGAAGCTGTTCCATTAGCTAATCCCCCACAAAAGTTACCAAATACACTTGATTAAACCTGAACCTATCTATCTAATTCGTGGTCAGGTTGTATCTTGAGCAGCAGTTTTTCCTGCTTTGTGTCTTTACTCTGTGCTTTTCTAGCTCTCTCCCTTGGACTGCAGCGTGCTTTTGTTCTAAAACTAAAGCTGGTGCGGTGTGTCTTTGGCAGTTTGAGGTGGAGCATCTGCCAAAGAGATCTGACTGCAAGTTTGAGTGCTCACATGGAGCCGGACATGGCAGGGACAGGTGTGATGAGTTGGAGCCAGCCAGGGACTCTGAGAGGAAGATGATCTCTGTTGCAATAGAGTGCTTATGAGAGAAAAGGTGGCCCAATGGAATGCAATAATAAGGATTGATGAAAGGGCTAGTGAAAAACAATTACTCTCATGTCCATTCTGCGGGGGGTTGATTAGGAAGCCTTCTCTCCCCCGCCATCCCGTGGCCTTGTGTTCTGCCAGAAATCAGTGTTATGACCAAAGGGCCAGAAACTGTTTGTTCCTAAAAAGAGCTCGGAAAGCCGGGGGGATTGAGAAACAGGGTGAGCACCAGCTTGGTGTGGTTATAGTTCTTCACTTTAAACAATAAATTAAAAAAATTTTTCCAGCTTTATTAAGATAATATTGATATATATCATTGTGTAAGTTTAAGGTGTGTAACATGATGATTTGGTATACATATATATTGCAAAACTTTTATTACAATATACGGTTAATTAACACATCTATCGCCTTGCATAAGTAGCATTTATTTTTTATGATGAGAACATTAGTTCTTTTTTTAAAAATATAATTTTATTGACTTCAGAGAGGAAGGGTGAGGGAGAGAGAGATAGAAACATCAGTGATGAGAGAGAATCATTGATCGGCTGCCTCCTGCATGCCCTCTACTAGGGAGCAAGCCTGCAATCTGGGCGTGTGCCCTTGACCAGAATCAATCCTGGGACCCTTCAGTCTGCAGGCAGATGCTCTATCCACTGAGCCAAACCAGCTAGGGCAGAACATTAGTTCTTTTAGCTACTTTCAAGTATATAATACAGTATTGTTAACTATAGTCACTATGCTGTATATTAGATCCCCATAACTTATTGCTTTTAAATAAAGAGGGGAGGGGAGAGATTGAGCTTCAGTCCTCAAATGTCCATTTGAGCTTCATGCTTTAAACCCTATCACATGGCAAATGTTTGTGTCCCTGTATTCTCTTTTTCTTTTCCTTTTTCTCTTGTAATGCTGGTCCCTGGAGTTTAATTTGGTTTAAGACCTCTGGTTTGTATTCATATTCTCTTTCTTTCTTTCTCTTTCTCTCTCTCTCTCTCTCTCTCTCTCTCTCTCTCTCTCTTAAAAATATATTTTATTGATTTCAGACAGGAAAGAAGAGGGAGCGAGAGATCAAAACATCAATGATAAGAGAGAATAATTGATTGGCTGCTTCCTGCACACCCCCTACTGGGGATGGAGCCCACAACAGAATCAAATTGTGACCTCCTGGTTCATAGGTCGATGCTCAACCACTGACCCATGCCGGCTGGATTCATTGTCTCCCTTAATTCCTTCCCTGATTCCCTTTCTTTGATGGTTCTCATATACTATTCTACAAATATCTCCCCATTTCCACCCACTCCCCACCCTGAAAGATACATATATAGAATAAATGGATGAAGTTAAGGAGCTCAAGGAAGCTGTATCTGAGCATTTCTACCTTCTTGGCATCTCTAGTGTCTTAGAGAATATGACTTCTGGAATGAGGGCTCTCCTTTATTGCTTTCTTTCAACATTTTTCTCTTGCTGTTTCTTAAGCTTTCTCCCCAAGTGTATTTGACAGAAAGCTAGTGCAGTCTTCCTACTTCACGAAGAGCCTTCAATAATGATTAGCAATGAAATTAAAACTTATGAAAGGCTTGACCCTGGACGCAAGCCAAAAACAACCTCTGAACTCCTTAAGATTATAATTTCTGTAGCCATTGAATGAAGGCAGGGGACTTGGAAATAAGGCACTAGTAAAACAAGTAAAGAGTTGTTTAAAGGAAAGCATCAATAAATGGAGTCATGGTTAAGTGGAAGAGTGATGAGGTGTCACTCATCGAGGAAGGAAACGGATTTCATAGATAAGTTATACATATAGTATTGAGTTTCTATATTTATCCTCTATATAATAGGGATCATTACACAAGTGGTACCCAGTCTAGCTGGCTTCTTCTCCTCGGTCATTCCTGAACTCTGCCTTATTCTGGGATGGGATGCTGTGACTATTTCCACAAAAAAGATGAACTGAGGAAGTATTTTTCTAGGGGACTAATGACATTTTGGTAGGAAACAGTCTTTGGCCAAGTGATATCATGGGGCAGTAATAACAATAGTTTAAATTAATGAAGCATGTCCTATGTGCTAAGCACTCCACTTTTATAAATCACTTATTATACCCATTTTTCAGATGTGGAAACTGAGGCCGGAGAGGTTAAGTTGATTCGCTTCCATCTAATCTTCTGATTTCCCTTATCTTGTTCTACTTTTTCTTTTCTCCCTAGCACTTTTCATTCAAACATAGTATAAACTGTGTGAAGTTTATTGTATTCCCCCCCCCCCAAGAATTCAAACTTTATAAAGGCAGGGATCTGTACCTGATTTGTTCATTGAGGTCTCCAAAATGCCTGAAATAAATAAATAACCTCAGTTAACATTTGCTGAATGAGTAACTTTTCCAAGGTCACACAACTTGTTAATTGCAGAGTTCGGACTTGAACCCAGGCAAACTTCAATGCCTGCTCTCTCCACCTGCTCTACTATCTCTCTGTCTGAAGCATGTGAATTATTCCATTTCTGATGCCATATAAAATAGGATGCTTTCCACAACTGTCCTTACAAAGCATAGGTCATTGTGGCCAATATGGGGAGAGGTCTGTGGAGTCTTCTTTGTCATTGTCAAGGGATTTTCCTGGGAGAACCCTCAGCCTGCATCAAGCCTCTGTGAGCTCAGTTTAGCCCAGTTTATGTACTCTATGGTCATTTGGGGTAAATAAGGGTGATGTCATAAGGGCTTATGCATTTTCTTTTGAGTCTTGGCTGTGGCTGAACCCAGAGAAAATGATTCTTTTGTGTGATATAGCTGCGACCTTTTGGTGCCCATCTCTTTTACATTCTCATTCCCCTTTCCTGAGCCACAAGAAGAGCTCTCTTAATGCCGATCAAAAGTCAGAGGAAGTTCAACTGTGGATTTCATTCAGAAATGGAAATGCACTACAAAAATCCCTTCAGAAGTGTCTTTCTCTAGTGAGTTGATTTTAGGCTAGCAGTCTACTGGGCAGGCTTGATTGAAATGGCGGCTGAAGCAATCCTAGTGTCTGGGTTGGCTCAGCATCTGAAACAGTTTTCCAGTTTATGCCTTCATAGGAAGTACGGTATGATTAATGATGCTTTCCCTCTCTGCACTGGTAAGAAGCATAAAAGAATAGGTGTGGTGCTTTTGTTTTTATTGATTTTATTTATTTATTTTAATGAATTAAATTGATTGGGGTGTCATTGGTTAATAAGACTATATAGGTTTCAAGTGTACAGTTCTATAATAAATCATCTGTACATTGCATTGTATGCCCACCATCCAAAGTCAAATCATCTTCCATCACCATATATTTGGCACTTTTTACCCTTTACATCTCACTATCTCCCTTCCTTCTGGTAACCACCATACTGTCGTCTGTTTCTGTGAGTTTCAGTTTAATATGCCACATATGAGGGAAATCATAATCCTTAGCTTTTTATTACTGACTTATTTCGCTTAACATAATATTCCTGAGGCCCATCCATGTTGTTGCAAATGGCAGTACTTTGTCTTTTCTTATGGCTGAGTAGTGTTCCACTGTATATATGTACCACATCTTCTTTATCCAATCATCTATCGAAGGACACTTGGGTTGTTTCCATGTCTTGGCCACCTTGAATAATGCTGCAATGAACATAGTGTTGCATATGACTTTGTGAATAAATGTTTTCAAATCTTTCAAGTAGATAGCCAGAAGAAGGATTTCTGGGTCATGTGGCAACTCTATTCTTAAATTTTTGAGGAGCCTCCATACTGTTTTCCATAGTGGCTGTACCAGCTTACATTCCCACTAGCAGTGAATGAGGATTCCTTTTCTTCCACAATCTCTCTAACACTTGTTATTACTTTTCTTGTTGATAATAGCCATTTTAACAGGTGTGAAATGGTATCTCATTGTAGTTTGTTTTAATATGTCTTTGATTTTTTTTAGAGAGAGATGAAGGGAGAGGCATAGATAGAAACATCTATTGTCTGCCTCCTGCACGCCCCCTACTGGTGATCGAGCCTGCAAACTGGACATGTGCCCTGACTGGAAATCGAACTGATGACCTCCTGGTTCATGGGTCAACCACTGAGCAACACCAGCCGGGCTCATTGTAGTTTTGATTTACATTTTCCCAAATGTCTAGTGAAGTTGTGCATCTTTTCATATATCTACTAGAGGCCTGGTGCACAAAATTCGTGCATGGGTAGGGTCCCTAGGCCTGGCTGGCGATCAGGGCCAATCAGGGCCTTCTGGTTGCTGGCTGGGGCCTTCCTTCATTTTGCGCCACCCCTGGTCATAGCGAGTGATCGAACTCCTGGTCTCCCAGTCGAACTCCCGTGGGGACAGTTTGCATATTAGCTATATATATATATATGCCATTTGTATGTCTTCTTGGGAGAAGTGTCTGTTCAGGTCCTCTG